CCTGAAAGGTGAGAGGGACCCGACGTGTGGCAGAGAACTGAACCCCATCCTACACCCCCTCACACCCCCTCACGCCCCCTGCCACGGGAGAAGGCTGAGGGAGGGAGTGACCTGAAGGGCATGGAGGGGGGCAGGTACACGGGGTGGGGGCCTCAGGGTGCTTTGGGATTTGGCCAGCAGCAGGGTCCCGGAAATGAAGCGGGAGGCTGGCTTTTTTTAAAGATTCCAGGTGATTCTACTGTGCAGCCCAGAGCGAGAAGCACAGGAGAAGGTGTCTGAAGGGGGCGAGGGGTAAGACTGAAAGGTGAGTCTGAGGCGGGCAGCCATGCCTCATTTTGCAGGAGGGAAACTGAGGCTGAGATGAGGTCACCCGCCCAGCGTCAGCCTGAAATGGCCCACCACAAGGACAGGGAAACAGCCTCCAGCCGGCCCGCGGTGACCCTGCGCCAGAGGGCCATAGTGCTGGGCAGGACTGGAGAGGAAAGCCTGGCCACTTTCAGAAGGATTTTCAACCCAAGGGTTGAAACACAACAAAAAGCATGTTTTTCCTTGGAGGCCACTAAGGAAGTATATTCCAACCCACCCACACTCAGCCCCCTCTAGCCGCATCAGGCGTCTGCTATTTTGGTTTTTGAGTGAAATATTTCAGGCGTATACAAAATGCAGAAAGTAGGCTGAGCACAACCGCCCCGGGTTTCAGTCAAGATGGATTTAGTTTTCAGAAACAGCAGACTGATTACAGCCTTGGGGCTCCAGAGCCAGACAGCCTGGGTTCAAGTCCCAGCTCTGCTACTTACTAACTGGATAGCCTGGGGCAAGTTACTCAATTTCACCCAGTCTCAGTGTCCTTAGCTGTAAAATGGGGGTAATTATAGCACCTGATTCGTGGAGGTCTCCTGAGGATTAAATAAGTTCATACCTATGAAACCCTCAGCAAATACCATCCGGCTCATAAAGGGTTTTTTTAAAAATTGTTTATTGATTGATTTTTAGAGAGAGAGAAACATTAATTTGTTGTTTCACTTACTTATGCACTCTTTGGTCGATTCTTGTCTGTGCCCTGGCCAGGGACTGAACCCACAACCTTGGCATATTTGGACAACACTCTAACCAACTGAGCTACCCTACCTGGCCAGGACATAGAGGACGGTTTTTGCTGCCACTGTTCTAGTTTTGATGTGGAAAGGCCGCAGACAGCTCTGGGTCTAGGTGGAGACACTGGAGGTTGTGAAACCCAGCATGGAAGCAAGTTCTCTCCCTGCTGTGATGAAGCTTGTGATAAAAAAAAAAGGACCAGAGTCCCATGTGGATGCTGAGAAGGGACTTGCCAGCTGGGAGAGGGGAGTTCCCGTGACATTTTAGGAAGAGAAGAAAGCCCTGAGGAGCTGGCCATCAATCCTGTCTACCTTGAGGCTGCCTTTCAGAGCCCCACCGAGACTGAGCCCCTCTCTGCAATATTGCTGTGTGACCTTTAGGCATCACTTAACCTCTCTGAACTTCTTTGGTAAAACAGGCTATTAAGACCCAACGGGGAGGGTCTGTGTGAGAAATAAATAAGGTAACAGGGGAAGCTGTAAAACCACTTCTGCCCAGGAGAGGGTTGAGGCGTATGAGGAGGAGGCCTGACTGCCCAGCCTCCCCAGCTTCAGGCCCAGAGGGAAGATGGAGGAGGGGCTGAGCTAACACATTACCTCTGCTCTCGTCAGCTGCTGGGAAAGGGACAATGTTGGTTCCAGCAGGCACCAGGCCCAGTCCCAGCCCCAGCAGCCCAAAGGTCATGGGTATTTGGGGGGGGGGGCTCATCCACCCTCCCAGGCTCTTGCCCTCCAGGCCCCAGGCCTGTTCTATGTGTCCAACCCCACCCCATGTGAATCAGGACTGCCCCCCACTCATCTGGAAACCATCAGGCACTACTAGGGGTTTTCACATGTCTAGCATCCGTACAGCGGTCCATTTTACAGACCAGGAAACAGCTCAGAGATGGGAAGTAACTTGCCCAAGGTCTCAGAGCTCTCCAAGAAGCAGTGCCAGGTTCCAAGGCCAAGTTCTTTTCCACAAAACCAAGTAATTCACATGAAGGTTCTGGCATCCGATGACAACCGCATGGAACACGGTGCCTCTACATCGCTGCACTCTAGGCCTGAAATTCTCTTGGCTGTTCACTGGCAAACTCCTCCTCGACCCTCGAGACAGGTTCAAGGTCTCCGCCCCCTCCGGCGCTCCCCGATGCCCCAGCACAGAGTGTTGCTGTTGCCTCCAAGGCTGCAGCCCTGTTGCCCAGTGACTAGAACTGGGCTGAGCCCATGGAAAGGAGTGATCACGTTCCTCGCCCAGCCCGCCAGCCAGCCTGAGCAGCCAGCCTGGCACACACAACGTGCCCAGCAGAGGCTGTGGCCCTCCCAGCCTGCAGCCCCTCCAAAAGCAGGAACCCCTGCTCTTTGGAGGAGGGTCTTCTTCTCCCTGCTCCTCTCTGCACCTTAACTGGCTCCACAGAGCTCTGTCAGAACATCAGAGGGTCAGGGAGAAGCCCAGAAGAGAGTCTAAAAAGTCAGAAATCAGAGCAGGCCCATCAATTTCCTCATTATGGACTCGGTTTCACGTCCCCAGCAGCAGCTGCTCAACAAGACAGATTAAAAACAGGTGGGAGGAGGGGGCGCAAAGGCTCAGGCCTACTCACTCTAAGCACATTTGGAAAACAGGAGAGAAACAGGGACACACCAGCACTGCACTGGCACTGACCAGGAGGTGACCCAGGCTGGTTAAAGGGCTCAGAGAAACGTGGGCCCCATGGTAGACTCGCAGCCTCTCCATCTCAGGGACATCCAGGGAGCTGCTGTAACAAGTTAACTCTTGTCAAGCCCTCAGCGTCGGGCAGTGACACACCCAGAGTGGGGAGGCGGCAGCCGTATTCCCTGGGTACAAATAGGAGTTGTCCATAGAGAATTTTAAAACAACGATAAGACACACCAAAAGTCAGTCTCCTGTTTATTCTCTCCACGTGCTGACAATTTTAAAGACCATCAGCGGTAAAATACAACTCTCCCCAGAGCTATTTCATTGCTCTTTTATTTCTGCAGATTTAAGTTCTATTTCTGAGATTAAATAAAATATATGTGAGCCTCAAAGTAGCCTGTTTTCATTTCTTTTTCTTTAAAAGCCTTTGTCTTCTACATGGAAGTTCAATCCAAGAGCACCCAGTTAGTCAGCCCCCCAGACACATTCAGCTACAGTGTCTGTTTCAGCGGAAATTTCCCAAATAGCTTAGCATGGTCTGAGCTCACTTTTGACAGGATTTGTGTCAAATCCTGCGGCCCTACATTTTCCTGTGTTGAAACAGAAGACAAAAGAGTCTGCCCTTCCAGTGCCAAAAGAAACCAAAACTGAAGTGTTTGAAAGCCTGAGTCATTTTCACAGAGAACTAGACTCTCATTCAAAAGCAGTGGATTAAACAAGAATCTCCATCACTCGGCCATTTTCTCTGATTTTTGCAGAAGAAAAACGGGGGAGAACTTTGCCAAATAAGATAAAAACTTATGATGACTTTTCTGGTGAAGATGTTTTAGTAAAAATGTTTCAAATGTGGAGATATTGAAACATCATCAGAATTGATTTTTTAAAAGATATAGGCAGTATTGCAATTTCTGGACTGTATTATGAAATGGGGTTTTTAATGAATCTCTGACAAACTTATCCTAATGTTTAAGGCTTTTCCTATTTGTATATCTTGTTTCATATGAGAGAAGCTTTTGAAATTAAAATTAATAAAAAGTGTTCTTCAATCAACTGTGAGCAATGATGGCTTGACAAATCTAGCTCTACCAAATTTTGAACATTAATATGCAACGATAGATTTTTTTATTATTTTTTTTAAAGATCAACTTTGTCAAAGTCATAGACAACTTTTCAGAAGTTAAATTTCCAAAACAGAAACTGTGATGTTAATTCCCTTCTGTGACCAACCTATATGTAAGGATAACTTTTTTTCAAAAATACATTAAATCAATTAAAAACTATTAACCCATTACTTTTCTCTATTTTTCTCTATACTTTATTTTTCACTTTTTTATTTTTCCACTGGCATGAGTTCATATAAAGAGCTCAATAAAAATGTTTACTGTTTCTTTTCTGGACATTATCATTATTCATCTCATTATTATTACTGAAAATAATGTCAGATGAAGGAGAGGAGTATTTAAAAATGACCACTCCAGGTATCAAATGTGCTGGGTACACCCTGAGGCCAGGCACTTGGGGAGCTGTTTACCTGGACTGAACTGAATCATCATCATCATAGTGAATTATGGCTGAGCACTTCGTACGTGTGCAAAGCACTGTTCTGAGCACTTTCTAAGTATTAAGTCGTGAAATCTTCACTGGGGGGAAACAATGAATTTGAAACTTGACCCAAGTTCCACAGCTAGGTGCCCGAGGGGGCGCAGGGGAGTACAGGTGCCAGGTGGGTCTGCCTCCAAGGCTGCACTCCGCCCCTCTCTGCAGCCAGCGGTGGGAAATCGAAAGGGGGCATTTGCTAAGCCCTTTTATAATTTCTGAACCACATCGCAGGTTTGAAAAAGGAAAAGTGAAAGCTGGGCAACTGCTGACAGAGGGGGTCATGAGGCCCTCAGCTGAGACCAGAAAAAGCCACTGTGATCGGACCCAAGAGGGGCCTGGGGCAGCAATCCAGCCCTGACCTTTAACCCCGCGGAGCCGGCCCAGGGACTGGTGTGTCTCAGGAAGGCAGCTCGGGACCTCGGGGAGCAAGGCGCCCCTCACTGCCTCCCTCGTCCTGCGGGTTCTGCCTTCCTGGGGGCCTGGTTTTAAACCTGCCCGTGGAAGTTCAAGTCCTGAGACAACTGCAGCAGGTGCCTGCTGCCCCCAAGCGACACCTGACGCCCAGGGCGGGTAGAGGTGCGGCCTCTCTGAAGTGATAACTCTGGCTCCAGGACGAGTCACCACTAAAACTCGGCCCCGCCCGCAGCCCACGTCGGCTCCAAACTTACAATGGGCGCCAGCATCTTCTTTCCTGCGGTGGACCCTCAATCTCAGGCTGGAGTTTGCTTTATCGGCTGCGTAAATGCCTGAGGCAGGGGGAGCAGGGGTTCGTTATGTCATTAACAGGTAGCGGCGTCCCCAAGATCCCAGGGGACGGTGACTTCTAGCAGGGAGACCGTGCAGTTGGTCTCCGATCCTTCGGGCAACAACCGGCCCCCTCCCTAGGAGTCCCTCGCTCGCCCCCCAGCCCTGCGCGAGGCTGTGAGAGGACGAGCCCCCCGATGGGGGCGCGGGAGCTTCCCCAGCGACCCGCGAGGCGGGGGCGCCGCTGCGGGGAGCGCGCCAGGGAC